CTTTCTCATGACATTTTTTAGGCTTATCCATATGACTTGTTTTGGCTAATGGCGTGTAGATGGAAATAATGTGGCATGAGTTTTGTAACTAGCCCTTCCAAGGCATCGCTTGCTCTTCTGGAAGCTTCCTGTTCCATCAGGAGCAAAACATGCCCCAGGTAGCCAATGTCCCTCCTGTCTGAGTCACAAAAAGAGGTGCATGGAGAGAAGACAAAGCACAGAGCCTGCCCAAGGTTAGGCATCGAACAGGAGATCTTCCTTGCATAAAGGTGGGACCCCAAACATCATTACCCTCAGGGTAGGGATGACTCAGCAGTAAGCCAGCCCCACCCCTGAGGGGACATCAAGGAAAGTTGCTTGGGTGGTTAACAGAGCAAGGTGGGGAGGGCAGACCTCTCTCTAAGAAGATGTAACCATAAGGCAGGCCCTGTATATACTGGCAAGCCAAATTTGTACCTTTTAGCTTGTCCATAACACCCAAGCCGTGAACAGTTTGCAGTGCTCCTAGACTGTTCTGCCACCTAGGGGCCTGGCTGAAGCAATCCTAATGATTTTTGGAGAGAGGCACTTTCATCCTACACCTCAAAAATGTTTCATCAGTAGTATTCCAAGGAAATTAGTAGCTCACAATCAAGTAATTGCACAAGGAAATAAGGCATAATAGGGTAGAACAAGAAGAAATAAAGACAGCAGAAACAGACCCACAAATAATTCAGGTATCAGAATGATCATTCAGGTCTCAAAGAAACAATTTACCATATCTCAAGAATGTCTTGACATGAGTACAGCCATGTTTGGCCGCTCCATTGACCTAAAGCCACCAGCACAAAAAGAAATAAAAAGCTGCTTTCTGCGTGGTGGGAACTGGCCCTTCTCCCATGGAGATAGCTGCAATGTGTACAAATTTCAAGGCTCTTTGGGCGCCGCAGCCTGGGACAGACTGGCCATCTGTGCCGGGCTGAGACGATAACCAGGGTAAAAAATGCGTGTACACAAGTACTGGGCTGGGACGATAGCCAGGGGGCTCAGTGCACGTACGCCACTGATAACCATTTGTGCATGGGAACACTGGATGCTTGCTCTGAAAAAGCTCTGTAACTGCTTACTCTGGGAATTACTGATGCTATAAAAAACTGCTGGAGACTGAGACCCGGTGAGAGTTCCACCTGTGGAAGGGACGCCTTGCCCAGGACGTGTGATTCCCGCCCAGCCGTGTTGATTGACAGGGCTCTCCCGGCAGTGGGGCATGGAGGTTGTGAGTAATTGATTTATTGTGAAGTAATCGATCTGACGTGTTCTCTTTTCAGTCAACCTGGTGTTTCTCTTTCCAGTTGATTTGTGTCATTTGCCTTCAGTCGATCTGGTGTTTCCCTTTCTGATCGATCTGATGTTTTTCCCTCTTATTATATGACCTATTCGAGTCTGCCGCTATCTCAGCCGATGTGGATGTTTTCCCTTTCCAGTTGAGCTGGTGTTTTTCCCCTCTTATTATTTGACCTATTCGGATCTGTTTGTGGACTATCGCCTTTACTATCCTCTATCTAATAAAATATACCTTCAGTCCACTTGTGTGGAGTGGAAAGTTTCTTTTACATCTCCGATAGAATCCCCGAACCTCTCATAACAAAGAATTAAAAAGATATAGAGGAATACTCTATGACAGTAATTCTACTTCCAGGTACATGCCCAACAAAAATACATAGATATGTTCACCAGAAGGTGTGTATTAAAACTAGCATTCAGGGGCTGGCCCCGTGGCTTAGCGGTTGAGTGCGTGCGCTCTGCTACTGGAGGCCCGGGTTCATATCCCGGGCGCGCACCGATGCACCGCTTGTCCGGCCATGCTGAGGCCATGTCCCACATACAGCAACTAGAAGGATGTGCAACTATGACATAAAACTATCTACTGGAGCTTTGGGGAGAAAAAGGGAAAAAAAGGAGGAGGATTGGCAATAGATGTTAGCTCAGGTCTGATCTTCCTCAAAAAAAAAAAAAAAACTAGCAGTCATAGTAGCACTATTTATAATACCCCCACAAATTGAAACTACCCAAATGCCCATTGACAGCAGAATGGATGAATAAATTGTAGTGTGATCACACAATGGAATACTTTATAGTATTGAGAATAAACTGAGAATAAATGATCAAAAACTATAATATTATAGAGGAATCTCACAGACATGACGTTGAATAAAAGGAATAAGACACAAAAGAATACATACTGTATGATGCCATTCATTTAAAGTACAAAAATAGGCAAAACTAATTTATGTGTAAAAAGATAGGTTGGTTCTTGTACTTGGTGGGTTTTATTGACTAGAAAGGAGCAGGGGTCGGGGGGTGCTTCAAGGATGTTGTTAATATTCTGTTTCTTGGTCTGTATTCGTTATGAGTGTGTTTGGTTTGTGAAAAGTCATTGAGTTATTCAATTGTGTTATTTATGGCTGTGTAACAAGTTTCCCCAAAACTTAGCACCTTAAAACAAAAAATATTTATTAACTCACACAGTTTTGAGAACAGCTTAGCTAGGTGAGTCTGCTTCAGGATCTCTCATGAGCCTGTAGTCAAACTGTCAGCAGGGGCTGCAGTCGTGTGAAGGCTCAACAGGAGCCAAAGGCTTCACTTCCAGGTTAATTCACGTGGTTGTTGGCAGGCCTCAGTTCCTCACTGCCTGTTCGCTGAAAGCCTCAGTTTCTCCACATGGGCCCTCCATAGAGTGACTGAGTGTCCCCATGACATGGCAGCTGTCTTCCCTCAGAGCGAGTGATGAGAGGGAGAGGAAGGAGAATATCGCAATGTCTTTTATAATCGGGTGTCAGAGTGACACATCATTTCTTCTGCCTTATTATATTCACAAAAAATGAGTTACTAAGTCTAGTAATTTGGATTTAAGTTACTAGTCTTGTGCTGGGAAATTAAGCTCCCATTCCTGAAGAGAGGAGTATTGTATCAGTCAGCTCCAGCTGCTATAACAAAATACCGTAGACTGGATAGGTGGCTTAAACAACAGAAATTTATTTCTCATTGTTCTGGAGGCTGGGAAGTCCAAGATCAAAGTACCGGCTGATTCAGTTCTTGATGCAGACACTTCCTGGCTTGCAGTTGGCTGTTTTCTTACGGTGTCCTCACATGGCAGAGAGATTGAGAGAGAACTTTGTGCTGCTCTCTGGTCTCTTCTTTTTTTTTTTTAAAGATTTTATTTATTTATTTTATTTTTTTTCCCCCCAAAGCCCCAGTAGATAGTTGTATGTCATAGCTGCACATCCTTCTAGTTGCTCTGGTCTCTTCTTATAAAGGCATCAATCCCATCATAAGAATCTGACCCTCATGACCTCGTCTAAACCTAATCACCTCCCAAGGGCTCCCACCACCAAGTACCATCACACTTTAGGTAGGTAGGTAGGTAGGTAGGTAGGTAGATAGATAGATAGATAGATAGATAGATAGATCTGTAGTCTGAAGGCCTGAGAACCAGGAGAGCCAATGGTGTAAGTTCCAATCCGGGTCCAAAGGCAAGAGGAGGCTGATGTCCCAGTTCAAGACCATCAGGCAGAGGAAACAAATTCTCTCTTGCTCAGCCTTTTGTTCTATTCAATGGTTTGGATGAGGCCCACCCACATTGCGTAGGGCAGTCTGCTTTACTCAGTCTATTGATTCAAATGTTAATCTCAGCTAGAAACACCCTCACAGACACACAGAATAATATTTAATCAGATATCTGGGCACCTTGTGACCCAGTCAAGTTGACACACAAAATTAGCCATCACAAGTATCAAGGAATTTGTGGACATGTTTTTAAAACTACTACAATGTGTATATATGTACCTTTCCGTATATATTTTATATTTCACTAAAAAGTGTTTTAATGAAAGAGGCTGGAAAATATCTGCATGGAACATTTAGCCATAAGAAATAACCCAACAAATTTTTTTACAGCTTTATTGAAATTTCTCAAAATGAACATATTGAAAGTATAATTTGATAAGTTTAGACACATAAATATACCCATGAAGCCAGCACCAGAATCGAAATGATGAATCTCTCCATCACCCCTGGAAGTTTCCTTGTGACTGTTATGATCTTTGCCACTCCCTGTCTCATCCCCAGATGATCTGATTTCTCTTAGTGTAGTTTAGCCCGCATTTTCTAGGATTTTATATAACTGGAAGCATACGCCATATACTCTTTTTTGTCTGGCTTCTTTCACTCAGCGTAATTATTTTGAGATTCACCCAATTTGATTCATGTATCAATAGTGTGTTATTTTTATTGCTGAACTACATTCCATTGTATGGACAGACCACAATTTGTTTATCCATTCATCTGTTGAAGGACATTGTGGTTGTTTCCAGTTTTTGACTATTACAAATGAACCTGCTGTGAACATTTGTGTACAGATGTCTGTTTGGACATTTGCTTTCATCTCTCTTGTGTAAAAACTTAGAAGTGGAATAGATGGGTCATATGGTAGTTGTATCTTCAACATTTTAAGAAACTTCCAACCCAAGCTGGTTTCCAAAGGAGTTTCATCGTTAACACCCCGAGAGCAGTATATGAGATCCACTCTCCCTACATGCCCATAGACACTTGGTATATTCAGTCTTTTTAATTTTAACCATTCTAAGAGGTGTGTGAAGGTATCTCATTGTGGTTTAATTTTAATAATTTGCATTTCCATAATAATAAATGATGCTAAACATCTTTTCAGATACTTATTTACCATCTGTATATGTTCTTTGGTGAAGTATCTGCTCAACTCTTTTGCCTTTTTTAATTGGGTTGTCTTCTTATTGACTAGGAAAATATCTTTTTATATTCTAGATACAAGTCTTTGCTGAATATATGTTTTACAAATATTTTTTTCCAAACTGGAGCTTGCCTTTTCATTTTCTTTATGATGTCTTGAAGGACAAAATGTTTTAATTTTTTTTGCTGTGGTAAAATATACATAGCATAATATTTATCATTTAACCATATGGCATTAAATACATTCACAATGTTGTGTAACATGACTTTGTATCACAACTATGTATACCCAGAAATTTCCATCTTCCCCAACATAAACTCTGTACCTATTAAAATATAACTCTCCATTCTCTCTTCCTTCAGCGCTCAGTAACCACTATTCCACATTCTGTCTCTATGAATTTGCCAATTATGGTACCTCATACAAGTGGAATAATATAGTATTTGTCCTTCAGTGTCTGGCTTTTCTCACTTAGCACAATGTTTTGAAGGTCCATCCATGTTGTAGCATATTTCAAAGTCTTATTCCTTTTATGGCTGAATAATATTCCATTGTATCCAAAATGGAAAGGAAGAAATAAAATTAGCTCTGTTTGTAGATGACATGATATTATACGTAGAAAACCCTAAAGATTGGACAAAAACTATTATAATTAATAAATGAATTCAGCAAAGTAGCAGGATACAAAATCAACAAACAAAAATCAGTTGCATTTCTATACACTAACAATGAACAATCTGAAAACGAAATTAAGAAAACAATTCCATTTACAACAGCATCAAAAAGAAAAAAAAATACTGAGGAATTAACTTAACCAAGGAGGTAAAAAACTTATCATTTTGACTTTTGTGTAGACTGCATTGTGTCCACCATCAATAGTCTAATTTCCATCTGTCACTGTACACATGTACTCCTTTAGCCCTCTCCCCTCTTGCCTCCCCCACTGGTAACCACTGATATATTATTTGTGTCTATGTGTTTGTTTGTTGTTGTTGTTGTTGTTTTATCTTCCACATATGAGTGAACTCATACAGTATTTGGCTTTCTCCATCTGACTTATTTCACTTAGCATAATACCTTCCAGGTCCATCCATGTTGTCACAAATGGCAAGATTTCATCATTTTTATGGCTGAGTAGTATTCTGCTGTATATATATACCACATCTTCTTTATCCGTTTATCCGTTGATCGGCAGTTAGTTGTTTCCAAGTCTTGGCTATTGTGAATAATGCTGCAAAGAACGTAGGGGTACATACGTCTTGTCGAATTAGTGTTTTTATGTTCTTTGAATAAATACCCAGAAGTGGAATAGCTGGATCATATGGTAGTTCTATTTTTAATTTTTTGAGAAATCTCCATACTGTTTTCCATAGTGGCTGCACCAGTTTACATTCCTACCAGTAGTGTATGAGTGTTCCCTGTTCTCCACATCCTCTCCAACACCTGTTATTTCTTGTCTTTGTTTATTTATTTATTTAGTGAGGAAGATTGGCCCTGAGCTAACATTTGTGCCAATCTACCTCTATTTTGTATGTGGGTTGCCGCCACAGCATAGCTTGATGAGCAGTGTGTAGGTTTGCACCTGGGATTCAAACCTGTGAACCCTGGGCCCCCAAAGTGGAGCACGCGAATGTAACCACTACACCACTGGGCCGGACCCTCTTGTCTTTTTAATAATAGCCATTCTGATGGGCTATTGATATCTCATTGTGGTTTTGATTTGCATTTCTCTAATAATTAGTGATGTTGAACATCTTTTCATGTGCCTGTTGGCCATCTGTATATCTTCTTTGGAAAAATGTCTGTTTATGTCCTCCACCCATTTTTTAACCAGTTCTTTGTGTTTTTTTGTTCTTGAGTTGTATGTTATTTATATATTTTGGATATTAACCCCTTATCAGATATATGATTTGCAAATATCTTCTTTCAATTGGTAGGTTGACTTTTCATTTTGTTGATGGTTTCCTTTGTCATGCAGAAGCTTTTTAGTTTGATCTAGTCCAATTTGTTTATTTTTTCTTTCGTTTCCCATGCCTGAGGAGACATGATATTCAAAAAGACCAATGTCAAAGAGTGTACTGCCTAGGTTTTCTTCTAGGAGTTTTATGGTTTCAGGTCTTAAATTCAAGTCTTTAATCCATTTTGAGTTAATTTTTGTGTATGGTGTAAGATAATGGTCTACGTTCATTCTTATGTATGTGGCTGTCCAGTTTTGCTGACACCTTATTGAAGAGACTTTCCTTTCTCCATCGTATGTCTTTGGATCCTTTGTTGGAAATTAGCTGTCTATAGATGTGTAGGTTTTTTTCTGGGCTCTCAATTCTGTTCCATTGATCTGTGTGTCTGTCTTTTTTTACCAGTATCATGCTGTTTTGATTACTATAGTTTTGTAGTATATTTTGAAATCAGAGGCTGTGATACCTCCAGCTTTGTTCTTTTTTCTCAGAATTGCTTTGCTATTCAGGGTCTTTTGTTCAATATAAATTTTAGGATTCTTTCTTTTATTTTGACAAAAGATGTCATTGGGACTTTGACAGAGATTTCATTGAATCTGTAGGTTGTTTTAGAAAGTATGGACATTTTAACTATGTTAATTCTTCCAATCCAAGAGCACAGAATATCTTTCTATTTCTTTGTGTCTTCTTTGATTTCTTTCAACAATGTTTTATAGTTTTCAGTGTACAGACCTTTCACCTCTTTGGTTAAGTTTATTCCTAGGTATTTTATTCTTTTTGTTGTGATTGTATATAGGATTGTATTCTTGATTTCTCTTTCTGCTATTTTGTTGTTAGTGTATAGAAATGCAATTGATTTTTGTATGTTGATTTTGTCCCCTGCAACTTTACTGTATTGGTTTATTATTTCTAATAGTTTTTTAGATTCTTTGGGGTTTCTATATATAAAATCATTCAAATAGTGACAGTTTTATTTTGTCCTTTCCAATTTGTATCCCTTTTATTTCTTTTTCTTCCCTAATTGCTCTGGTTAGGACTTCCGATACTACGCTGAATAAGAGTGGCAGAAGTGGGCATCCTTGTCTGGTTCCTGTTCTTAGAGGGATAGTTTTCAGTTTTTCACCATTGAGTATGGTGTTAGCTGTGGGTTTTTCATATATGGCCTTTATTATGTTGAGGTACTTTCCTTCTATAGCCATTTTAATCAGAGGTTTTATCATAAATGAATGCTGTATCTTGTCGAATGCTTTCTCTGCATCTATTGAATGGATCATGTGATTTTATTCTTTTTTTTTTTTTTTGGTGAGGAAGATCAGCCCTGAGCTAGCATCCATGCCAATCCTCCTCTTTTTGCTGAGGAAGACCAGCTCTGGGCTAACATCTATTGCCAAGCCTCCTCCGTCTTTTTTTCCCCTTTTCTCCCCAAAGCCCCAGTAGATAGTTGTATGTCATGGTTGTGCCTCCCTCTGGTTGCTGTATCTGGGACGCCGCCTCAGCATGGCCGGACAAGGTGTCTCAGTGCACGCCCAGATCCAAACCCAGGCCACTAGTAGCGGAGCATGCACACCCAACCGCTAAGCCATGGGGCTGGCCACTATTCCTCATTTTTTTGATGTGGTGTATCATATTGATTGATTTGTGTACATTGAACCTTCCCTGCATCCCTGGAATAAATCCCACTTGATCATGGTGTATGATCCTTTTAATGTATTGTATTCAATTTGCTAATATTTTGTTGAGGATTTTTGCATCTATATTCATCAGTGATATTGACCTGTAATTTCCTTTTTTTGTCTTGTCCTTGTCTGGTTTTGGTATCAGGGTAATGTTGGCCTTGTAGAATGAGGATTGCCTATATACAGGCTAATGTCATTTGTAAATAGAGGTAGTTTTACCCCTTCCTTTCCAATTTGGATGCTTTTAATTTATTTTTCTTATCTAATTGCTCTGGCTAGAACTTCCAGTAAAATATTTGATAGCAGTGGTGAAAGCAGGCATCCTTGTCTTCTTCTTGGTCTTAGGGGGAAAGCTTTCAGTCTTTAACCATTGAGTGTGATGTGAGCCATGGATTTTTCATAAATACTCTTTATCATATTGAGTAATTTTCCTTGTGTTCTTAGTTTTCTGAGAGTTTTTATCATGAAACTGTGTTGGATTTTGTCAAATGCCTTTTCTGCATCAATTGGGATTTGGTTTTTTTCCTTCATTCTATTAAGATGATGTATTACATTGATTGATTTTCTTATCTTGACCCACACTTGCTTTCCTTGGATAAATTCCATTTGATCATGGTGAATAGTCCTTTTAACATGCTGTTGGATTTGATCTGGTAATTTTTTGTTGAGGATTTTTATTTACATCTATATTCATAAGGGATATTGGTCTATAATTTTCTTTTCTTGTGATGTCTTTATCTGGTTTTGGTATCAGGGTAATGCTGGTCTCATAGAATGAGTCAGTAAGTATTACCCCCTCTTCAGTTTTTTGGAAGAGTTTGAGAAAGATTTTTGTTAATTCTTCTTCAAACGTTTGGTAGAATTCACCAGTAAAGCCATCTGGTCCAAGACTTTTCTTTTTTGGGAGGTTTTTCATTATTAATTAAATCTCTTTACTTGTTATAGGTCTGTTGAGATTGTTTCTTCTTGAGTCAGTTTAGGTAATTGTGTGTTTCAAGGAATTTGTCCATTTTTTGTTATCTAATTTGTTGACATGCAATTGCATATAGTATACTTTTATAATTCTTTTTGTCTTTGTAAGGTTGGTAGTAATGTAGCCACTTTCATTTATGATTTTAGTTATTTGCATCTTTTCTCTTTTTTTCTTTCTCTATCTAAAATGTTGTCAATTTTGTTGATCTTTTAAAAATCCAATTTTTGGTTTCATTTATTTTCCCCATTATTTTTCAGTTCTCTATTTTGTTTAACTCCACTCTAGTCTTTATTATTTCTCTCCTTCTGCTAGCTTTGGGTTCAGTTTGTTCTTCTTTTTCTAGTTCCTTAAATTGAAAAGTTAGGTTATTCGGGCTGGGCCTGTGGCTTAGCGGTTGACTGTGCGTGCTCCACTACTGGCGGCCCGGGTTTGGATTCCTGGCACGCACTGACGCACCGCTTCTCCGGCCATGCTGAGGCCGCATCCCACATACAGCAACTAGAAGGATGTGCAACTATGACATACAACTATCTACTGGGGTTTTGGGGAAAAAATAAAAAAAAAGGAGGAGCTTTGGCAATAGATGTTAGCTCAGAGCTGGTCTTCCTCAGCAAAAAGAAGAGGATTAGCATGGATGTTAGCTCAGGGCTGATCTTCCTCAGCAAAATAAATAAAGAAAGAAATAAATAAAACTGTTTAAAAAAAAGAAAAGTTAAGTTATGGATCTGAGATCTTTCTTCCTTGTTAATGTAGGCATTTATAGCTATAAATTTTCCTTGAGCTCTGTTTTTGTGGCATCCCACAAGTTTTGGTATGTTGTGTTTTCTTTTTCATTTGACTCTAAGTATTTTTTTATTTCACTTGTGATTTCTTCTTTGGCCTATTTGTTGTTTGAGCATGTTGTTTAATTTCCCATATATGTGAATTTTCCACTTTTCCTTCTGTCATTGATTTTTAACTTCATCCTCTTGTTATAAGCGAAAATACATTGTATGAATCTTTTAAAATCTATTGAGACCTGTTTTGTAGCCTAACTTTTGGTCTATCCTAGAGAATTTCCCATGTGCTCTTGAGAAGAATGTGTATTCTGTTGTTTGGGTGGAGTGTTCTGTTTATATCTGTTAGGTCTAGTCAGTTTATTGTGCTGTTTGACTCCTCTATTTCCCTACTTATCATCTGTCTGGTTGTTCTATCCATTACTGAAAGTTATTGAAGTCTCCAACCATTATTGTAGAACTATCTATTTCCCCCTTCGATCTTGTCAATTTTTGCTACCTATGTTTTGAGGATCTGTTATTGAATACATAAATGGTATATCTTCTTGCTGTATTGAACTTTTTATTAACATATGATATCTTTCTTAGTCTCTTGTAACCTTTTTTGATTGAAAGTCTATTTTGTCTGATATTAGTATAGTCACTCCAGCTCTCTTTTATTCACTATTTGCATGGAATATCTTTTTCCATTCTTTCACTTTCAATGTATTCATGTCTTTGGATTGAAAGCGCGTCTCTTATAGGAAGCATGTAGTTGGATCATGTGTTTTAATCCATTCTGCTAATCTCTGTCATTTGACTGGAAAGTTTAATTCACTTACATAAAGTAGCAACTGTTGTGTCAGTGGAGGGAAGAAGGGGCACAACGTTCAGACTGACTTATGGAATGGACTCTTTTGGCCCAATAAGACACCAATACACTGGCTTTAGAGAGCAATAGTGTATATATTTATTAGGAAGACAATAAACTATATATATATACAGGTATGCTACAGCATAAGCATAAGAAGATAATAATTCAATAACAATGGAAAGAAATAGGGGGGAGAGAGAGAGACATCAGATTGGCACTCATGATATCCGCAACCCTATGCGGGGGGAGAGTCCCTTTGACTGACATGGCTAGGCGGGAATGTGGATCAAAAAAGGAAAAACATCAAATCGATTGAAAAAGAGAAACATCAGATCAACCGAGAGAGGAAAACATCAGATTGATTGAAAAAGAGAAACATTGGATTGATCAAGGGAGAGAATATCAGATCAGGTACTTACAACATCCACGCCCTTATGACAGGGAGAGTGCCTTTAATTGACATGGCTAGGCGGGAATGCAGATCGAAAGAGGTCCTGGGCAAGGCATGCCCCCCACAGGCAAGACTCTATCAGGTTTCAGTTTCCAGCAGTTTATATAGCATGAGCAAGTTTCAGAGTAAGCATTTGTAAAGTAAGCATTTGGTGTTCCCATGCACAAAAAATTATCAGTTGTGTACATGCATTGAGCCCCTTGGCTATCTTCCCAGCCTGGCACTGATGGCCAGTCCATTCCAGGCTGTGACTCCCACAGAGTCTTGCAGTCTTACAAACTGCAACTATCTCTGTGGGAGAAGGGCCAGTTCCCACCACACAGAAAACCACTTTATATTTCTATGTGTGCTGGTGGTTGTAGGTTCATGGACTGGCCAAACATAGCTGTACTCACATCAAGACAACAACTGATAAGGAAGGAATTCTGCTATTTGCTTTCTAAATGCTTTATAGTTTTTTTGTACATCATTTCCTCTATTACTGTCTTCTTTCGGGTTTAGTTGATTTTTTTTTTGTAGTGAAATGTTTTGATTTCTTTCTCATTTCATTTTGTGTATATTGTATAAGTACCTTTTTGTTGTTACCATGGGGATTAAATTTAATAGCCGAATGTTATAGCAACCTAATTTGAATTTATACTAACTTCAATATTGTACAAAAACTCTGCTCCTATACAGCTCATTACCCCTACTTTCTGTTATTGATGCCACAAATTACATATTTATATAGTTTGTGCTTAATAATGTAGATTAATAATTCTTTTTATGTACTTATCTTTTAAATCATGTAGGAAATAAAAAATGGAGTTACAAGGCAAAATTGCAATCACACTAGCTTTTATAATCACCACATTTACCAGAGATCTTTATTTCTTCATACAGCTTCAAGTTACTGTCTAACGTCTTTTCATTTCAACCTGAAGGATTCTCTTTAGCAGTTCTTGCAGGATGGCTGTAGTGTAACAAACTCCCTCAGCTTTTGTTTATCTGGGAATGTCCTAATTTCTCCCTCATTTTTGAAGGATAGTTTTGCTGGACATAAAATTCATAGTGGACATTTTTCTTTTTCTTTCAGCACTTAGAAATATCACCCCACTGCACTGTGGCCTCCAAGATTTCTCATGAGAAATCAGCTAATAATCTTACTGAGGATCCCTTCTCATGATGAGCTGCTTCTCTCTTGCTGCTTTCAAGATTCTTTCATAGGTTGACTATAATGTGTCTTGATATGAGGTTTTTGTTTTTGTTTTAGTTTATCCTACTTGAAATTTGTTGAGTTTCTTGAATTTGTAGATTGACATCTAACATCAAATTTGAGAGGTTCTAAGCCATTATTTCCTCCTGTATTCTTTCTGCTCCTTTCTTGCTCTTTGCTCCTTATGTGATTCCCACAATGCATATGTTGGACTGTTTGATAGTATCTCACAGATCACTTAGGCTCTATTTGCTTTTCTGCATTCTTTTTTCTTTCTGTTCCTCAGACTCAATAATTTCAAGTTTGCTGATTTTAAATATTTTAAAGTTTGCTGATTCTTTCTTCTGCCTGGCCAAATCTGTTTTTGAATACTTCTAGTGAATTTTTCATTTCAGTTATTGTATTTTTCAGTTCCATAGCTTCTTATTGCTTCCTTTTTTATAATTTCTACTTCTTTATTGGTATTCTCATCTTGTTCATACATCATTTTCCTCTTTTTCCATGCCTTTCTTTAGCTCTTTGAGCACCTTTAAGAAAGTTGTTTTTAAAATTTTGTCTAGGAAGTCTGAAGTCTGGGGTTCTTCAGGGATAGCTCATGGCAATTTGTTTTGTACCTTTAATGAGCCAAACTTTCGTGTTTCTTTGTATGCTTGTGATTTTTGTTGTTGTTGTTGTGGAAATCTGGACATTTGCATTTCATAACGTGGTAACTCTGGACCTCAGATTATTCCCCTTCCCCAGAATCTGCTCTTTTTTTAATTGTTAAAGGGTGTCTCTGTGCTGAAGATCAGCCTGAGGTGAAAGCTTGAGATCTTCTCATGTAATTTCTGAGTCTTTATGATTCCCTGGGCTTGCCTGGTGGCTTTCTAAGTTCCCCTATATACACATTTGATTTTGAATGTCCTAATCCTTAAATGTCTGATTCTCAAAAGGGAGAAAAGGGTAAAAAGAAAAAAAATGCCTCAGGGACTATTCCTTTAAATCCTCTGGAAGTCAATTCAGCTGGTGGAGTTTAAAACAATAGTGGCCAGCCCCTATGCCTGCACCTCAGTGATCCAAAGCAGCAGTCAGCAATCAGAAAACCAAACACCATTATTTGGAGGACAAGGTCTTTATTGCCCAGCATGGTTTCAGAAAGCCACACCAGGAATGTGGACATGGCTGCTTGCCATAGGCTTGGTGGGTAGAAGATGAGTAGCCATTGCTGTGCTAAAACTGAAATTAAAATAGAAATTAACCAAAATTAACTGCAATTTACCAGCCAAGCTTTCCCCAGGAAGCTGAAACCATTCAAATAGACTCTAGAGTTCAAAAATACTTACATCAGATAGTTTCTGCCAGTACAATGTTTTGTCTAGGTGGAGAGACAGATCCCTGGTATTTTCTACTTTTCCATCTTCCTTGACATCACTCTAATGTTTTAATTTTGATGACATGTTTTAAATTTGTCTTCATATTTAATGCTTTTTATGTTATCATTAAGAAAACTTTGTAAAACTCCATGTCACTAAGATTTCCTCATATGTTTTCTTTTAGAAGGGTTATAGTTTTAGATCTTACACTATAGGTCTTTACTCCATCTTGAAATTTTTTAAAAATATGGTGTGGTAAGGACTGAAGTTTATTATTTAATCGTATGGATGGCAAATTGTTCTAGCATCATTTTTTGAAAATATTATACTTTCCCTCATTGAATTACCTTGACAGCTTTGTTGAAAATAAATTTACTATATATCTTTGGGTCTATTTCTGGATACTTTATTCTATTCCGTTCATCTCTTTACCTGTTTTTTTTTTTTTAAATAAATATCATACTGTCTTAATAACTGAGCTTTAAAATAACTCAAAATCAAGTAGTGTAGGTCTTCCAACTATGTTCTTTGTTTCAAAATTCTTTTGGTTATGCTAGTTCCTTTGTATTTTCATATAAATTACAGAATCACTTTGGCAGTTTCTCAAAAAGAGCTTATTGAAGTTTGGTTAGGAATGCATTTAATCCATAAATCAAATGCATGGAGTAAAGTTCAGGGGAAACTAGATGTAAATTTCTAGAGTCCTTTCCCAGTGGAGTCACACAGGACATGCTTAATTCCCCAACAACAAGTTGTGACAACCTCCGTGAAATGTTGTCTATGAAAGGAGGTCATTAGAGACTCAATGCCCAGGGTTTTTACTGGGGGATGATCACATAGGCACTGCTGCCTGGCACATAACCAAATCCCAGGCTTCCAGAAGGAACGCAAGTGTTCAGAATAAACCATATTGTTTATACAAAAAGTCGAGGCATAATAAGCAACTATTATCACTTAATTGTAGAAACTGTCCTGAAATCTAATTTTCCAGACACCAGCCAAGGGCCAACCTTGTAAGATGCTATCAAAGCATAGCAGTCAGGCATGCTATATTAATTCTTTTCTGTGCTGTTAGCGTGGTTTATTTTCCCATCTTTCATTTTTTAACTTTACTATTTGTTTTATTGTGTTAAAATACATATAAATTTTACCCATTTTTTAGTGCACAATTCAGTGGTGTTAATTACCTTCACAATATTGTGCACCATCCTTTCACTTTTGGCCTATTTGTTTTACATAGAGAGTAGGTTTCTTTATTTATTTTTTTATTTTTTTTAGCAGGAGAAAATAATACCACATTTAATAACATGTATACATGGGAGAGACCAGGGAAACTGAGTTTCTCAACAAAATGGCAGAGATTCTCGTCTTAAATACTGTCTTCCTCTAAAGACAAAAGAGAGTAGGTTTCTTTAGGCAGTATATAGTTGGTTGTTGCTTTTATATCCAATCTGAAAATCTATGCCTTTTAATTGGGGTGTTTAGACCATTTATATTTAATGTGATTATGAGTTACCTTGAATTTAAATCTACCACCTTGCTATTTATTTTCATTTGTCACATCTGCATTTCATACTTTTTCCTATTTCTTTCTGTCTTGCTTTTCTTTCTTTTTTTAAAGAGTTAAATGTTTTTTTTGAGGAAGATTAGCCCTGTGCTAAGATTTGTTGCCAATCTTCCTCTTTTTCTTTTTTCTCCTCAAAGCCCCAGTACACAGTTGTGTATCATAGTTGCAGAGTTATAGCTCTTCTATATGGGATGCCACCTCAGCATGGCTTGATGTGTGGTGAGTAGGTCCACGCCCAGGACGGGAACTGGCAGACCCTGGACTGCCAAAGTGGAACACATGAAATTAACCACTATGCCACTGGGCCAGCCTCTGCCCTGCTTTTCTATTTTGTTCTGCCTTGTTTTAGATTAATGGTATATTTTTTATAATACCATTTAAAGGGTAACTTTAACCCTTTGTTTTGTTTTCTTTTTAGTGGTTCATTAAGAGTTTACAGTATACATATTTAAATTAGCACTGTCTACCTTCAACTTGTATAATAGCATTTCACACATAGCATAAGAATCTTAAAACATACTTCAGTTTTCCCCCTTGCAGTCTTGGTGCTATTGTTGTCATATATTTTACTTCTACATATGTTGTTAGACCTCACAACATATTATTATTTTGCTGTTGCCCAGGAGCCAGCAAATTTTGACCCTTTATCCAGTTGTCCCAATACCATTTCTTGAAAACACTATTCTTTTCTCCATTCAGTTGTCTTGGCACTCTTGTTGAAATCTTGTGATATCTTTGTCTGGTTTTGACATCAGAATGATACTGGCCTCATATTCTATTGTATGCATACACCACATTTAAAAAAATCTATTGATCCCGAAACAACAACTTGGGTTGTTTCCACCTTTTGGCTACTGTGAACAGTATGTTGCTATGAACACTGCACACAGATATTTTGCTTGAGTCCCTGTTTTCAGTCATTTTGAGTATATACCTTGGATTAGAATTAGTGGGTTATATGGCAGTTCTAGGTTTAACTTTTTGATGAAAATCTTCAATGATTTTTAATTATATATATTGTTGCTAGTGCTGTTGAGTTGATTCTGACTCCTAGAGACCCCGTGTACAGCAGAGTGGAACCCTGCCTGGTCCTTTTGTGCCATCATCTCACCTTCTAGCACTCTATCAGACAATACTCTGCTGCTATTCATAGGGCTTTTATGGCCAGTGTTTTTGGAAGTGGGTGACCTGGTCCTTCTTCCTAATATATATATTTGAGTTATATCATTAGTGGTTGCTGTAGGGCTTACTATAATCATCTTAACTTATAAGAAGCAGGTTCAGATTTATACTAACTTAATTCCAGGGAGATACAGAGACAGTACTTCTATATAGCTCTACTCCTCCCCTCCCTTTTCCAGGTATTACTGTTATACATATTACACCTATAAATGCCACAAACTCAAAATGCATTGTTGTAATTATTACTTTATATAATTTAATGGATTTTAAAGAAGAGAGAACTAAGGAGAGGAGGTATATGTGTATAGCTTTTAAAAATATTAACCTCTTGCTTATCATTTCTGATTTGTTTTATTAGTTCCTGTGTATTTAAGTTGCTATCTGGAGTAATTTCCTTAGCCCAGTACAGCTTTGCTCTACTCCCCTCTTTTGTGTTGTTATTGGCGAGTATTTTACATTTCTATGAGTTATGTGCCCAAGAACACATTATATGCATATTGTTTTATACAACTGCTTTAAAAATCAGCTTAGTAGAAGAAAAGAGAAGCCAACAGGCTCTCATAGAATTGTATAGGATACTCCACTCAATAACAGCAAAATGCACATTCTTTTCAAGCACCTATTGAACACAAACCAAGATGGGCCATATCCTGGGTCATAAAACAACCTCAACAAATTTAAAATGTATTGAGAACTCTAGAAATTAATAATACAAAGATAACAGGGAAATCTCCAAACACTTGGAAACTAAACAACACACTCCTAAATAATCCATATGTGAAAGATGAAGTCTCAAGGGAAATTTTAAAAATATATTGAACTGAACAAAAATGAAAACAAAACATAAAATTTGTGGGATGCAGCCAAAGCAGTGTTGAAAGGGAAATTTATAGCAGTAAATTCTTATATTAGAAAAAAGGGAATGACATCACCAACATGGCTGAATAAAATATCCCTCATTTGTGTCCCCTCCCCTCAACAGCAACAATTTGATATCAATCCATGGACAAATGAGACTTTGTGGGAAGCTTGGGATCCAGCACCATATGCCAATGAACCCAGAAGGTCTCTTGCTTACGCGTGTGTCAGGTAATAGGAATACAGATCTTGGTCCTGGCTGTAGATCCTGCAGTGGTTCAAGAACTAGCTTCAGCCCATCTTGGCCATGGTGCAGGAGCCCCTGGAGAACATTGCCTTAGACGGTCACTCACAGACTAGAGAGCCTTTGTGGAAGTCCTGGTTTCCAGCAGAGAAGTTCTAGCACACCACAGGACCAAAAAAATATAAGTTCAGACACATTGGAGAGGATAAGAGAAACAGTTTGACTTATGCACATTATCTGTTCCACAAGGTGGCACAGCTCAGGACCAAGAGAGATCTTCTCAGTGATTTCTCCTGCAGGGGAAAGTGAGAGTGTTGAGTGAGCACCTGGCTTCTCCAGCTGTGCAGGATGATGCCAAAAAGTCTCTTTTTCCCTTGCACCATCCAGAGTACTGAGTTGTGAGCTGCATGACTGGGGAGCAGGAAGAGGCTGGGAGAGCTGTAGGTAGGACTCTTGGAAGGCATTAAAGGGATGTAAATCCTACTAATTGCATTGAAGACTACATCAAGAAGCCAGCCCACGAGCTTCCAGGTATGCCTCACCTGTAGATGCCCCCAACTGGTCAATGGGCACTCCCAGCACTCTGCATGTCTCACTCACACACACCCCCACCCTGTGGCTGGCTCCCTGTGTGCACTCCTGATTGCGTTGGTGAGGGTGAACTTTGGCAGATGGCTAGTGAACATGCACAGAAAACCAGCTTGAATCTGCAGGCCAGGGAGAGACAACAAATATGAGCTTTACCATCACCCTTGGGAAAGCAAAAGGGAGGCTGTCAGCACCCAGCCTGTTGCGCAAGATTGAGAGAAGGCATATATGCTTAAGAATTCTTCCACAAGAGGGAGCAAGAAGTGTGGAGCAGGTGTATCCACAGAAGGTCTGAGAAAGCCTCAAAATCCCTAGTAGGGCTGATGGAGGATACTTCACTCCTAAAGGCAGTTAGTAAAAATGGGAAGAGGTGACTGGTACCTCAAATGCAAAAACCTCAGTGCAAAACTTCAAGGAATATGAAAAATCAAGGAAATGTGACACCACCAAAGGATTACAATAATCTGCCAGTAACCAATCCCAAAGACATAGAGATCTGAGATTTACCCAATAAAGAATTCAAAATAGCTATTTTAAAGGAAGTTCAGGGCCGGCCCCGTGGCTTAGCGGTTAAGTGCGTGCGCTTCGCTGCCGGCGGCCCGGGTTCGGATCCCGGGTGCGCACTGAGGCACCACCCCTCCAGCCATGCTGAGGCCGCGTCCCACATACAGCAACTAGAAGGATGTGCAGCTATGACAGACAACTATGTACTGGGGCTTTGGGGGAAAAATAAATAAATAAAATCTTTAAAGGAAGTTCAATGATCTACAAGAAAACACAGAAAGACAGTTCAATGAAATCAGGAAGACTATACACAAACAAAATGAGAAGTTTAACAAACAGATAAAAAGCATAAAAAGTAATGAAATAGAAATTCTGGAGCTGAAGAATACAATGAATGAAATGAAAAATGAAATAGAGAACACCAACAGTAGAATGGATCAAGAAGAAGAAAGAATCTGTGAATCAGAAGATAGGAACTTTGAAATTGTCCAGTCAGAGGAGAACAAATGAAAAAGAGTAAAGAAAGCCTACGTGATATATGAGATACCATCAAAAGAAACAATGTGTGAATTATTGGAGTCCCAGAAGGAGAAAAAAAGAGGAGAACAGAAAGTTTATTTAAAGAAATAATGGCTGAGAACTTCCCAAATCTGGGGAGAGATTTAGATATGCAAGTTAATGAAGCTCATAGTTCACCAAACAAACTCAAAGAGATCTTCTCCAAGACACATTATTATAAAACTGTCAAAAATCAAAGACGAAGAGAGAATCTTAAAAGCAACAAGAGAAAAGAAGCTTGTAACTTATAAAGGAACCCCCAGAGGGCTATCAGAGGATTTCTCAGCAGAAACCTTACAGATCAGGAGAGAGTGGGATGATATATTCAAAGTGCTGAAAGGAAAAAAATGCCATCCAAGAATACTATATCTGGCAAAGTTGTCCTTCATATGGTGGAAAGATAAAGAAGTTCCTAGAAAAACAAAAGTTGAGGGAGCTCATCACCACCAGAGCTGCCTTACAAGAAATGCTGACAGGAGTTCTTCAAGCTGAAATGAAAGGAGACTAAGCAGTAACATGGAAACATTTGAAAATATGCCACACACTAGTAAAAGTAAGTATATAGTCAAATTCAGAATGCTTTAATACTGTAATATAGTGTTGTGTTAACCAGTTAACTCTAGTTTAAAGGTTAAAGCACAAGAGTATTTAAAATAACTATAGCTAAAATAATTTGTTAATGAACACACAATATAAAAAGAGGT